AGATTCTTATTGAAAGAAAGACCAGCAGAAAAAAATTAGACTGTTTGGCTGTTAGACTATCAAGCAAGCTGTTTGCTTTAAAGGCATCAAGGCAAGAAAAGTCAGCCCATCAGGGAAAACCCAAAACTAAAACTCAAAGGGAACCCACAAGCACTCTACTATGCTCGCTGGTGACAACCTGGATCTATTTATGAGTGGAACTGGGGGAAATGCATCAATGAAGACATGGGCTGAGTTTGGCCATGTTCCACTGACACCCGTTGATCTTGAGATGAGAGAGAAGAGGAAGGGCTGTGTGGGCTGAAGTTTAGGGAGATGTGTGAACTTCTGAGCCCATGGGCACTGACCTAGCCTCTGTGGGCTAGAGCTGAGAGAAAGAGGCCAGCTGGTCTAAAGTGCAGGGAGGTATGTGTGAACTCCCAGACTTGCACCTAGTGTCCATTTGACCTAGTCTGGATGGCTACCTGACCAGAACTTGATCAGATGAAGATAAAGATGCTTGATAACTGTTGTTGTTGTTAAGTGCCATCTAGTTGGTTCTGACCCATAGCGACCCTGTATCAGGTTTCTGAGGAGACGCTGGTGAGCTTGAACCACTGACCTTGCAGTTCAAACCGCTTTGCAGTCTGGCACATTAACCCACAGTGCCACACCAGGACTCTGCTTGATACTGTAAGCATGTATAAATTGCTACAAATTGATGAATTGGACATTTGCTTATGGATGCAGTTACACAGAATTCCAACCAAAATGGAAGGATTCTTTATATCAAGGATCAAGTTTGTTTACTCAGTTCACTGGGTCGATAGGGACAGAAAATGTAGACATTGGCTATCGAAAATGGGAGGCTATAAAGTCACAGAGTGGCTGGCTTATAAGCATTCATGTGTGTACTTAATTTCAGAATTAGAGTGGTAAGGTAGAATCTCAACTGAATAGTTTCCCTCTTTCCAGATGGGTCTGGTGAAAGGGAATTGGAGATAATTATGATAGGATTTTATAATTCAATTGCGAGTAATTGTTAGCAGGATTAATTGTGATGGTCACAACTGTAATTGTAGAAGCTCTGCAACTAAAAAGGGGGAGTAGGTTATCTTTCATTGCAGGAGCAGAGGCTCCCAGGACCATCAAGAAGGAAGAGCATGAATGGAGAATGAGATCTTACCTAGAAAGGCAATGACAGCAGTGTTGGTGGTGATGATATTGAAAGATAGAGCAGCTGTGGGCTCTAGGTTCGTGGACTGAGAAAGGCTGTGTGCTTGCAACCAAGAGACTGACTTGCAAAATGTGCTATTTGGGCATTTAAATGAATATGTATTTTGGCTTTGTATGTGTACATCAAATATTTTTGCTTTGTTGGTTTATGAAACATAAGATATAAAAGGGAAGCAATAGGGAGAAAGCAGGATAACTGTTGTTGCAGGGAGGGGAATAATCATTGAGATGAAGCAAAACATTGATTGGCTGAAAGTAAAACTGATAATCTTGTCTGTTAATCTTCATTCAATTCCCAATTAAAAATTCAAACAAGCCAACAATTTATACCTTGATTAGTTGGGTATGACTAGATCAAATTCTTCACCCAAACCATCCTCAAAACCAAACTAAACCCACTACCATCAACTTGATTCCAATTCATAGAGACCCTATGAATTGGCTAGAAATCTTTACAGGAATAGAAAGTCACATCTTTTCCCCAAATATCAGCTGGTGGTTTTGAACTGCCAACTTAGTGTTGTACTCCAGTATTTATTCTACAAGGAGCTCTGGTAGTGTAGTGGTTACAAGTCGGATTGCTAACCTCAAGGTCAGCAGTTTGAAACTACCAGTCATTGTGAGGAAGAAAGAAGAGGCTTTCTGCTTTCATAAAGATTTACAGACTCAGATTTACAGCAGGGTTTCTATGAGTTGGAACCTACCTCACAGCACACAACCACCACCACCTTTTATCTTAGTATCATTTAGGAATCACAAATTTCTGGCAATTATGAGTGAGAAAATACAGTCATTTTGTCTTAATTTTTGTATCTTTGATTACCAGTGACTTGAACATTTTTGGATTGGAGGAAAACTCATTAATAACCTGTGATATACAAATGATACAACCCTGCTTGCAAAGGGTACTTGAGGTACTTACTAAAGAAGATCAAAGATTTTGAACTTCAGTATAGAGTACACATCAATGTAAAGAAAACAAAAATCTTCACAAATGGACCAATATACAACATCATGATTAATAGATGAAAGATTGAACTTGTCAAGGATTTCATCTTACTTATATCCACAATCAACACCCATGGAAACAACAGTCAAGAAATCAAACAATGCATTGCATTGGACAAATCATCTTCAAACGACTTCTTTGAATAGTTAAAAAGCAAAGATGTCACTTTGAGTAAGTTGTGCCTTACCAATGGTATTTTCAATCACCTTATATGCATACAAAAGCTAGACAATGAATAATGAAGACTGAAGAATGGATGCATTTAAATTACGGTGTTGGTGAAGAATACTGAATTAGACTGCCAGAAGAATGAATAAAACTGTTTTTGTTTTGGAAGCAGTACAGCCAAAATATTCCTAATAAGCAAGATAAATAGATTTTGCCTGCTATGCTTTGGACATGTCACCAGGAGGAATTAATCCCTGTAATAGAGCAAATCCTTGGTAAATTAGAGGGTGAGGGAAAAACAAGGAGACTCTCAGTGAGATGGATTGACTCAGTGACTCCAAAAATGAGCTACAACAGAGCTACAACTGTGAGGAGGATGCAGGACCAGGCTGTATTTTACTCCCCCATTTTTGTTACAAAACTTCTACCTTTACAGTTGTGACAGTCACAATTAGTCATGATAACAATTACTATTTAATCATAAGAATCTAATCTTCATCTCTTTTCACCAGACCCATCTAGACAGGATGAAAACTATTCAGTGGGGACTCCATCTTCCCCTCATACAAACTCCCTCTTGAAACCTTGTAAGCCAGTCACTTCATGCCTTTATTGCCCCATTTTAGGTAGCCAATGTCTAAGTTGCCTGTCCCTACCTACCCTGTGTACAGAGGGGATAGCATTGATAGTTGATGTGAAGACTCCTTCCCTCTCAGTTAGTATTTTGAGCTACTACATCCATAAGTATAGGTCAAGTTCATCAAATTG